AAGCTTCTGCAAGTTAAAACTGGTCGACCAAATATACCAAAAATCAACCCTTATACAGCCCGTTTCTCTAAGTCGTCTCCAACAATCGTGAGTTGATAGAAGGTTTGATAAACCAGATTTTTTGAAAAGTTCGAATTTTTTGGACCAAAAGTAAAAAAATATTTTTCTTGAAAAATTGTCAATCAAATAGCACAAAAGTACGAAATTAGGTGAAAACACATTTTTCATGAAAAATATTGTCAATCAAACGCTCTCTAATTGTTTTTTACCTGGTACGTAATCAAACACACGTATTAATATCAAAATATGTATCATAGTTTTTATTTGTATTGTTTTTTCGTTGGACTCTCTACTTGCAGAAAATAATAGTTTGGCAAGAATATCATTTTTACTAGAGATGGGTGTGAGAAGAAATAAAAAGGGTAAACAATGAATTGATTAATGCAAAATAAAAAGTGGCATTTAATTTTTTTGCCGTTAATCTTTATTATTTTTTCGCAATAATTTTAGATAATTTCGAAATTTCATGACGTCAAATATTTCATTCATTTTGCTGAATGGATTTGCCTTTGTTCCTGTGTTATAGAGGAGACACTTTGATAACAAACTTACTTCATCTTTTGTCATTAAATATTGCCATTGATCACTATTAATAATCATTACTAATAATCATAGAAGGAGTCCATGAAGGACAAATTTTTTTGGGTGGTATTATTTACATTCATAGTTTTTATATATTCATCTCATTCTATATACATCCCTATTAAAATTTTAAAAATCACCATTTCCATATACGTCAAATTTCAATATTGCATTTATTAAATTCATTAATTTTAAACATTATAAATCCACACAAATTTTATATATTCATCCCTAATACAATTTCAAAGATTTAAAAAAAATACCATAATCATCCAATCACTATCAACATCTAATTTGGTTCATTCATATATTTATTTATTTTTTTCTTACAAGCTCATAATTTTGATTGTTTGTATTTTGGTCGGTAATTTTAAGTTTATTTCTTTTTGTAATGTAAAAATATTTGGACATGTATTAAAATTTATTTTGAAATTTCTCGTATACTTTCATCTATCAAACCAATACTTAAAAACAAAGCATAAAAAATAAGACTCCATTTTCCATATCATGAAAGAATTATAACTAAAACAATGTATTATTATTATTATTTTAAATTTCAGTTGAAAAGGATATCTTATGATTATTAGGGTTTTATGATTTTAGTTGCTTATTAGAATTCTAGCTAAACACAAACTCTAAAAGAATATAAAAAGGTTCAAAAGAATTTATGAAAATAAATATTAATAGATGAATTTAGAATGATCTATTTTTATTTAATTTTATATATGTCTATTTAGGTAAATTTATTATATAAGATTAAAAGATAATATAATTATTTTTTAAGGTTGGATATATATAAAGACTATAAATTTAAATCACGGTATACATTTTTTTTGCTGTCACTTGATAGTAACCCACATTCAAATAAAATTGAATGTCCACATTGGTTGACACCCACAAAAATGTATAAATAACATGTCATACTTCTTGGTCAATTACATTGTGTCAAATGTAATCACATCAAAAAATTCCCCATAAGCCACCATACTTCTTGCATCAACCCAAAATAGGTTACTGATTCGAGCATTGTCATCTACATCTATCATATAAAATAAGATTGAATTCTTTGATTGCATCAAAACAAAATAGTAATGGATTGCTTTAACATCTCCAATACGAAAACATAATCTTCTTTTCTTATCAATGTAATTCCAAAAATCTTTTTCCAAGAATGGAACATTATAGTGATCCCCAGCTTCCGCTACAAAAGATTGGTAATTCTTTCCTATGCGAATCCCAGCTCGATCATTAATTCTAGTTTTCTTTGGCGCCTATACTATCCCCTGTTACATGAGTAAAATAGTGATTTTTGCAAACTCAACCCATGATTATGCTAAAGAGTAATAGAATTAATCTTGCACTTCCATTTTCTAATATAGTAGCATTAACCTTAGCTTTACACTTCCATTTTTGTTAGTGGATTAGGATTAAGGTATTTTTGTTTTTGAGACTTTACTTTCCACCTTGATAACAAGATAAGCAAAAAAATCTTAAATTATCATATGTCCACAGTGATTTCTTTATAATTTCAAATCCTTCTTACTTTCCATATTGTTTATAGTACTCATAGAGGCTGTCCAATGAATCAAAGTGCGTTTTCAACTTCCGGTGCTCACATCTCGAACTCTTTATAATCTATGATATGAAAAGGCGAATACTAATTACTAACAAAACCAAATTGAACGGCATAAATTACACACAGAACACTTGATATCACATACCAATTAAAAGTGATGCTAGTCATGGAAACAACGCAAACAAATGGATGAAAGACTAGCATCAATCTTTTAAAAACATACCATTTCCAAATCAATGTTGTCCGAGAATCAATGGAAAACTTCAAATCCCAGAAATCTGAGTTTTATATGGAATTATTAGGTTGCTCGAAGAGGCTGTCCATTATGTAAAATTTTTACAGCATCGAGGAATGGACAAAAATGTATTTCTCCTCATCTTTCTTTATTTCATCCAAATTCCAAAAGAGGACATGTTACATGGTATTCTACCCAACTGAACAATACAAACGAGATTAATAACTGCGTTTAAAAGTCTAATTACAAGGATATATCCACTAAATCCAAAATTGTACTTTTTTGCAGTTATTAAGCTCTGATGATCCGTGGAAGTATGCCCCTATTGCTTACAATGTCACGGACATTGGCCTTTATCAGAGAATTAGTTCGTGTGTACAAACTAATTGTTTGCAAAACAATTTCAGAATACTCACATGAGGTTAGGTGAGATGGGTTTTTTTTTGCAATTTTTTACTCACATGGGATGTGAGTAACCCACCCTTGTGAGTGTTCGGGAGGGGTTTTGCGAACCCCTACCTGTACACTAGAATTATTCTTATTAGAAGATTTCATCTACTCTAAGGCCTTAGTATTGATGCAGCAGCTTATGTACTAAAATTTTATTTTATTTTTGTTCTGACATGTAATGAGTTAGAGACAACGAGAGATAATAAAAACCCCTTCGACAGATAGAGTGAAATTTCCTAATAAAAATAACGTGGGTCATCGTTTAAAAGTAAAATATACCAACTACAATTACATATTCTTACCTAAAATTGATTAAAAATCAGCAAATGATTTATGGTGTTTCCTTTGATTTGATCTTGGTTTTGTCACTTGAGAAAATTAGTTGAAGCCAATTAAAAATCAGCAAACGATTGTTTTTGGCAAGTGGTGGCTACCCTGTGGAGACAGGCGATGATGGGACGAATTCTTGTGATATTTGTGTGTGTGAGAGACAAAGAAGAACCGTGAAATGCTCGGGAAGACGGAAGAGAGTAATGGGATGAATTAAGGAAGTGATTGCTTGGGAAGATGAAAGATCATAACAAAGGGTTTTTTTTTTTTTAACTATTTATTAAAGGGTAATGCCAACTACGTATTTCATGAACACTGCCACATCATCATTGTTTCATCATTATAATGATAAAAAAAATTACTCAAAACATAAGATGAAATTGACAGCTCGAGAGTCGTCACAAAAATACTTCACTTGTGCCGTCTACTTTTCCCTCACATTATCTTAAAGGTTAAACCCTAACCTTAAGGGTCCCCCACCACCCCTGTCCTGGAGCATCGTGAGGGAGGTAAATCGCAGGTTATGCCTCTAAGGATATAGGGTGGAAGGCTGCTTGTACACTTGCACTTACCCAAGAGCCAAATCCATATTTCAGGATTCGAACCCTTGACGCAGCAGCCTCAAGCAAAGTTGAATTTCTCCACCATCCCCTTTTACCACTTGAAGATGTGTCCTGTGGGCTTTTCCCTCACATTATCTTCCTACTGCTTTGTGTTGTCAATGAGTAGTATGTAATGAAGCATGTGAGACCCATCATCATTTCTTTTTCCCAATGTCACTTCTCCGCGTTCAACTCCCCTTCCTCGCTTCACTTACCGCTCCAAGTCCCAATCCATCCCTCTCCTCTATTTATCCCAAGAACACTTTATTAAAATGATTCGTGTGCACTCCTCAAACTACAACTAAAAATATTGATCAAATCTATCACAATACATATCAGTTTGATGTCGGACAAAAATAATTGTATTTTAAATTTATTTTCCGTGTAGTTATTTTAAGTCCTTGTTTGATACCAAATTTTCTCTCTCTTCTTTTTAATTGTACATTTTTCAATAAAATAATATTACGCGAAAATATTTTCTTAATTCTTAACCACACATTCTTCACCAATTGATTATATCAAAATGCATTTTACTTAAAAATAGGAAACAAACAGGGGCTAAACAAATTCCTTGTGAGAGATTCTCCTAACACATTAGAGAGAGACTATAAGATTATTATAAGGATTAAACTATTTGCACAGACAAAATGTACGCCTTGATTTACTCTTCCTATGTGTAAAAAAATCTGACATTTGATTGATTGAAAAAGGTATTCCAAGATTAATGTATCAAAATCTGCTAACTCAAACCAATATATCAATCTGTATTTACATGTGGCATGATTTTTGTTATAATTTAAAGTTAAGCCCCGTTAAAAATTGATTTTTTGACCGTTAAAAGAAATATGGTGTCTATCTATGAGGGAAGAAGTTAAAAATTATGACTAGTGAAATAACTGTCAAAAAATCAATTTTTTGAGGTAAAAAATCTTTCCCAAATTGACTGTTAAAATCAAAATTTAATTTTAAACACACATTCATAAATAATACTAAACAAGCACTAATAAAACCCAATCATCTCATCATTCATGCATTTACATTGGTCATTTTTAATTTCAAACACACATTCATAAATAATACAAAACAAGCACTAATAAAAACCCAATCATCTCATCATTCATGCATTTACATTGGTCATTTTGATTATAATGTATGCCAAACAAGCACTAATAAAACCCAATCATCTCAAACAAATTCATCGCGAGAGTCTCCTTATCTTTTCAGGATTAGTCAACAGAAGATAACTTTGGCAGTAAGAAAACACTGAGAAGTAGAAAATACAGCAGCTATTTATTTTACACATTACGAAAACCAGATTGCTCAAATCTCATTTTCCGAGGAATTCGAACAGGTTCAAAGCTAATCGGGGAAGATGAAGATCACTGTAATGACAGCTGACGAACAAATCCTCACTCTAGACGTCGATCGCGACGAATCTGTAACTCTTTCAACCCCTAATTTTTCTGTAATTGATTATGGAGTGTTTTTCTTGTTTTTCCTGATGATGGTGTCTGATTTAAATAATCATTACAGGTCGAGAACTTTAAAGCTCTTCTGGAAGTAGAGGTTAGATCTTTTTATTTATTTATTTTTTTGGTATATTTTTATAAAAAAAAAAATTGGGATAAATATATTAGGGATTAATATATATTACGTGTTTATAATATTGAACGAACAGACACAAGTGCCACTACAGCAGCAGCAGCTGCTATATAACGGAAGGGAGATGAAGAATTCTGAGAAATTGGGTGCTCTTGGTGTTACTGATGGAGATTTGGTGATGATGGTCTCAAATGCTTCATCTTCTGGTTCTAGGTTCGTGTAGTCGTAATAATTTTCTGCCACATATTTAATATTGATACTTCTATTAACAAGGATTGCGGACTGGGGGAAAAAAATAAAAACTTTAAGAATCAAAAGTCCAATTAGGATTCGTTGGGCACCTTTCAACATGGAATAACTAACGAATGTGTGCTTTCCATCCGTACTTATGTGTGGTGGACAATGCTAAAGTGTCTTTCTCTTTACGTCTCTTTTTGGTCTAGAAGAATATTCTAAAGCTTGTTTCAGTGCCTTCCCATTCTAAATAGTGTGACTTTTAACCTACTGTAGAGCATCCCCGAATGAGGCAGGATTTAATCCAGATGGTTCTGCAATGAACCCCTCAGCTTTGCAGCAGCAATTGCGTAACGATTCTAATGTAATGGCCCAGCTGTTCCAGGTAAAGTGTGATCTGGCCATTTAACTGCCCTTTTTTCTGAGGATAAAAGCATTTTTTGGCTTTTTTTCTTTAAGAATTGGTGGAAACTTGCTGCTATTAGCTAATTTTGGTGAAAAATGACTCGATGAGCTAATATAGTTATGTTATTTCTTTGTATTTAATAAAGAATTTTGTGCGATATTGTCACCTTGTTAATACTTTATGAGAAATCTGGCAAAATTCTCCACTATATATGATTCTTTGATAGGAAGCAACTTATTTTTGTTTTTGAGTTAAGAATTTTGATGTATAGCCTTTGTTTATTCCCATTATTTCAAAATTCATTTTCAATCTAACATTCTCGCAATAAAATATTTTGTACGTAAACCCAAATTTTTTTTTGCTTTTTAATAACACACTCTCCAAAAATTCACTATTATAAAACTCACTTTGATGACATAATGGCATCAAACAGGAGCATAGCGTGAGAAAATTGTTCTTGGGGTGGACAACTGAAATTATTTTGTAGCATCTATTTGAATTGCTTATCATTTACCTTTTTTATGCCTTTGTGACACTGTCTGAATCAGCATGCTCCATATATGTCAGCAGTTAAAATTGTCATAGGTTAAAAGTTTGTCCAAATTTTTTTTTTGAATATTGGTTATTTCTGTCATATCTTAAATCTTTCTACAACAGTTCAACTAGTCTATGCTTAAAGAGGTTAATTTCTGATCATTTTAACTCTTATATTGCTAATTGCAATGCCATGTTTGTAAAATTAAATCTTCCAGTGTCTGAGGATTTATTGAGATTGAACATGCTATTTGAACTTTCAGAGCGATCCTGAGTTGGCACAAGCTATCCTTGGAAATGATGTCAATAGGCTACAAGACATTTTACGTGCACGTAATCGTCAGAGAGGTGAATTACGACAACAGCAAGATGACGAAATGGTTAGTGTCATTTGCCGGTAACAGCTCATTATTAATTTCTTGGTGGGGTGTCTAATATGCATTGGATTAACTTTTAATTTATCAGAACTCTATTGTCAGTTGTGACAAAATTTTTCTGGAGTTGCTTCAGGGGATCATGTCATGATATTTACAATATGTCATTAGCTGAACCTTGAATTTCATTCAAGCTCGCCAGTGGAAAATCAATGTTCCTTTTTTACTCACCCCTGTTTAAGCCTCAAGAAATTATTCTCTCTTTTATTCAGTTCCTGTTTCGAATATTTTCTTACATTTGAGGCTTGTGTTTACCATCTCATGGGGTAAGTAGGGGTTCGCAAGAATACCCTAGTTTTAGGTGGGAAGGGAGGGGACATGCATTTTGCATATTAAGGCTATGATGCTCGGACTCTCCAAAAATGGAGAAGTATCCGTTTTGACACGGATACTGACACGGGATATGGATCGAATCCTTGGTTTAGATGGGGTAATTAGGGTTTGCAATAATACCCTAGTTTTAGGTGGGGAGGGTGGGGACATGCATTTTGCATATTAAGGCCCTTGACAGAGATTTTTCTATTCAAGGACTTCATCGTAGTTCCTTTAGGGCTTTCTGCTTTTGTAGGTCAGGTGATTATGAAGGAGACATTAGAAATGTCTTGTAGAAAAGCCATCCACGGACACATTCTGAATTGCTTGATCTAAACCTTTTTGTTTCTTTTTTGCTTATTGATATAGTTTGTTTGAATGTTTTATTTAAGAAGCCTGCACGTGGTTTTGTATCTCTGCAATGTAGGCTTTACTTCATGCAGACCCATTTGACGTGGAGGCACAGAAGAAAATTGAAGCAGCTATTCGACAGGTTGGTTTCCTCCTTGTCATCTTCAGGTCATTTTTCAGGTGTAGACCCACTTATTATAGATTTGCAGGCCAGCACCTCTCTAGAATGATAGATGACAACTTCAAAAGTTCACCTGCTATTGTGACTAAGTGGGAGATTGTTTGTGGTTATCAGGGGAATTGATTTGCATATTTATGATGTTTGCCAACAGATTATGAATATATATGATGATCCTTTCATATTTTTCAAGCACTAGCACAGTCTCTTAGTGCATCTCTTGTACTTGAAAATTTCCTACTAGTAATCTTTGTTCAAAATTATGGTGATGTAATTAGCACTATCCAATTTAATACTTCTTTTCATATATTTATATATATACACAGGGGGTCGTACCACGTAACAAGGTATTTGATAAAGGAATTGTCAAATAATCTTATCTATCCATTTAAACTAATCTAAGGGTCTAAATTTATTTTATTAAAATATTAAACTGATCTTGTTCTTATC